GATCCTCCGCTTAAAAATGAACGGCAGAGCGAGCGGAGAAGGCGTTAGTCCTCAGGGGAGGGGTCAACAGTTCCGCCCAATGGGCCAATTGGAGGCCTCTTAAAGCTACACCCTCCTTGCTGTGCATAGCTCATCCTTCTCCCATCGCTGAACATGTGTGTCAACGCTGGAGACAACGAGCACAGGAAGCACCAAGGGGAGAAACGGGGCATGGAGAGCGGCGAAACTGTGCTGTTGCATCTTCACGGGCGAACTTCAACGAGTCGTCACCAACGGCGGTGAGAGGGATGCAGACTGCATGGCTCAAAATGGATGTGGTGCGTCCCACACATCCATCCCCGTTGCACAGCTGGATGAGGAGACGTCTTGCGCAGGTTTCATGACATGGTGATTGGGTCTCTAGTGTCTGCATTAGATGGCGGGGGCTTTCCTCGTGGCCATGCACACATGGTTATGGCCATGCATACATGGTTATATACAGACGGTAGGATGGAGACCTCAAACTCGGCGGCCGTCTTTTACCGGACCCACCTGACTCGCCTACAGTAGCACCGAAGCGCCGTCCTGTGATGAAAGGATGGCGTGTGGTACCTTGTGCTGCGACGATACCGTTGCGTAGATACTGACAACAGGCTCTGATGGTTTCGATCTGTGCTTGCTATGCATACAGAGCGCACCACTTGAGACATCCAACATCAGTATTTGGCCAAAGGGTAGAATACCAAATTCGTACCATATGTACGTAGCACACGTATTTCTTGTCTGGCTCCGGGGGGGCGGCAAGGTGTTGCGACCGGGTGGTACTACTGTACTCCCCTGGGTGCTTGCTTCTCGGTCGCATAGCATGCCGTACCATGCATACACTAGTTCGTTCGTGTTGTGACTATAGTCTAATGTGTTTCTTTCTGTTTGTCAGTATCGCGCCCACGCCCGAGTACCCCCCCCCCTCCCCCCTCCTCCTGGACCCAGAACGTGCCGTCAAGCCTCCCTCTGCCCTCCAAACGGTAGTTCCAAAAATTTTCTTTGGACAGAACCTTGAGCGGTTCCAGCAGTCCCGAAAAAGAGAAAGTGAGGCAGGCGCAAACACCATACAGTAGTCTATTCCTCCTAACGTGTTGATCCGGTTCTTACGCTGGCGACGTGTGTTATGCAACGGCGTCCCCTACCGCGGTATCTGGTCGTGGTGAAAAGCAGAACACGCCGCGCCCAAAAGATGGGCACGTCTGTATGTATCTCAATCGTCTCGCTCTTGGCCTCGATTCCCGCTTCGCTCTCTGACGCCACTCTTTTCTCCTCCTCATCCAGACTACTGTTGTACAGTACTGAAGTGCAGGTGCTGTTGCTATTTTCTCACGTAACGTAGCAGTCGGTCGCCCCGGAGGTCCCACCTGCTGTACCCGAAAAACAAGCCAAACCGTGTGTATCATCGCACGTCACGTCCAGTTTCCACCCCCCCGTCCTGCCAAGTGCAGCGAACAATCGGGCATTCGGCATTCTTCGGTATGAATTTTGATCGGCGCGAGTGCGCGGGACGTGGGGCGGGGTATTCTCATAGCCGTGCATGCCGTAGTCGTTAAACCATTGATCTCGCATCCCTACCAAGCCGGGACGGATCACACCGTTTTTCACCGGACCAGGCTAGCACATCACCGAGCACGAGGCCGTGAGGTGGTGGGGGGCGTCGGTGTGTCGCTATCTATTTCGAGGGCCACGCCCCAAAACACGGTGCCCACCTTCGTCTCCAAAGCCAAACGCAATACAACCCATGCTCTTGTCTCCTCACAGCTCCAAAAACAAAATAAAGAAGGCCGCACAGACCAGCTGCTGTATGTTTCGTGTGCTACGGTGCTCGCCGGACGCTGACCCTGCTATCTCAACCCCTGACCCTACGTACGTTTGCAGATGGTATCGTTGGGGGCGGGAATGGACACACACGAGGGGGCTACGGCTCAGGGATTCGGTGGACACCAAGGTGAGAAGAACGTGGGGGGGCACGCGCTTGCTTGCGTTGGGGTGGGTGGGGGCCCACAACTCGAAATCATGGGCCCGCGAGGGGGGGAGGGGGAGGTGATTTGGAAGGGGGGGAGCGGGGAGGACAGCAGTAAGCGGGGTGTGCTGTGTTGTATGCATACGTTGTTCGTTTTGTGGGGGGTACGGAAGAAACAAGGGCACGCACACGACGGGTGCGGGGCGTGAGGGAGAAAACGGCTCGACAAGTCGTCAGTTTGCGTAGCCGTAGCAGTCCTTACAGTACTTCCCCACAGGTCTCATGTTCTCAACGAGTATTATCCCTTCTTTCACGTCGTAACGAATCCTCGCTCCCTTGAGTGTTCCGCGTGTCCTTCCGAACGGTGTGTGTGCTGAGAGTGTTTTTTTTTTTTTCGACTGTGAGGTGCTTGGTGTTGTTGCTGCTGCTGCGTCTGTTGTTGTTTATGCAGTAGTCTAGGTGTTGGCACGGTAGACGCCGTCGGCCTTGCTTCGAAAGGGAAATCTGTTCGTGTGTGTTTCTCACCCGGTTCGTGCCCCCAACTGTTCGAAGAGGGAACCAAGCGTGAATTCGAGCTTCGGGCGTTCCTGAGACACAATTTGCTACACGTGCTGTACCGTGTGCGTTTTTTTTTATTGTTAGCATCGGCCGCACTAACCGGTTGACGAAAAACGTCAGTCTCTAGCGTTGTGTGTTTCATTGCCGTGTCTTTTTCCTTGGAGCACCCTCGGCGTGCTGCTTCGAACCCGACCGAGCAATGAGGGGTGGGAGTTACACGACACCACCTAGCGACACGTTTTCCATCACACCACCCGCACGACGAGCTCGAACCCAACACTATTCCTTGTTTTCGTGTACTCCTTTGCCTAGTCCACTGTTGTTCTTGTAACGTTGTGCGCCCCATCATGCATGCGTAAATGTTGTAGGTGTCCGCTCGAGGTGGGCCAAGCGCTCGTTCTTCGCGTCAAGAGCGTAGCGCCCTTCTTGCGCAGCAGGCGGGGGCGGTCAACGAAGTAGCCAAGACGGTGTCGGGGTTTCTAGAGAGGATGGACGGCGGTGTTGGCCAGGGGTGCGTGGTCCCGGTGAAGGCCGACCTGAGCGTGGAAGGGAAGGGTGCAGGAGGGAGCTGTTCGAGGCGGGCTA